GTGTAAACGGCCGCATACATGAGGCTGCCCACCAAGGAGTGAAAACGCCGCCTCTCCTCTTCACCAACACTTTCCTCCGCTGGTCCTTTCACACACTTGAACCCTGAGGGAAGAGGAGTAGCCACATGACCTTCACTCTTCCCAAAGTTTGCAGCCAAGGCCTCCAAGTACTTCTTTTGATGCACTTGCATCCACCGCTTCTCCACATCTCGCTCAATGTGAAGCCCAAGGTAGTAGTTGACGTCACCAAGGGTCTTGCACTTGAACTTGTCTTGAAGCTTCAGCATCACCTCCTTAACAAGGTCAGAGAAGGGTGAGAATATGATGATGTCATCCACATAAACCACCATGAAGCTCCTCTGCTCCCCCTCGCCAAGCATGAACAAGGATTGATCGGCCGTTGAGGGAGTGAAGCCGATCGCCTCCAAGACTTCCCGCAGCTTGATGTACCATTGCCTAGGGGCTTGCTTGAGGCCATAGAGTGCTTTCTTCAGCTTCCATACTCTGCCACTCCCATCATTGTACCCCTCTGGCTGCTCCATGTAGGTCTCTTCCTCCAAAACGCCGTTGAGAAAGGCCGTTACAATGTCCATTTGCTTCACCACCCATCCTTTGATGGCCGCCGCGGCGAAGAGAGTTCGAAGGGTTGTACCATTCACCACAGGAGCATATACTTTATTGTAGTCCTTCTTCTCCTGCTGCTGGTACCCCTTGGCTACAAGTCTGCTCTTGTAGCGCTCAATGTTGCCGTCGGCGTCGGTCTTGCGCTTGAAGAGCCACTTGGAAGAAATCGCCTTACGGCCTGGAGGTAGGTTCACCAAGTCAAACGTGTCGTTCTCGATGATGCTCCCCATTTCTTCATCTGAGGCCTTCTTCCACTCCTTCACATTGGGGCCCTCCCAAGCCTTCTTGGGATTTGTAGGCTCCCCCGGTATCTCCACCGGAGAGAAGAAGGCAAAAGCGCACTCCTCGCTTTCATCTTCCGCGTCATCACCTAGCATGAGAGCCGAACTGGTCAAGGTTGAGTTGGCTGGTCCTCCAAGCCATTCATAGCTCAACCTATTGGGGGGCTGAGTCCTCCTTCTCCCCCTTCCTTCCTCCTCTGCTGCAGGGACTTGAATGCTCTCATGGCTTTGCGGTAAGTCCGATCGGTTCCTGCGAGCACTTGTGGCACGAGGCGGAAGTGGCGGTGCACGCTCATTACCTTGCTGCACTTCCTCCTCCTCCTCATCCCCATTCATTTGAGGAGATTGCCTCGTGATTGTGCTGTTGCTACTCAGCTCCAAGGGCAGCTCCACATGCTCCAAGCCGGTCCTCTTCACCTCTCCAAGCCGCACACCAATCTTCGCTTGGTTCTCCGCCTTCCACTCCTTGTACGGTAAGTTCTCCATGAACTTGCAATCTCTGCTCACCAGGAACTTCTTGGTAAATGGGTCCCATAGAAGCCATCCCTTGCTGTTTTGAGCCATGCCCAGGTGCACGGCCCATGTTGCCTTGGCATCAAGCTTGTTGTGCCGAAGTTTCTTAGGCACAAGTGCCATGCACATGCACCCGAACACCCGAAGCATATCCACCTTCGGCTTCCTTCCAATCCACTCCACAAAGGGCACCCATTTGTCTTCTCCCACGTGAGTCAAGGCTCTGTTCTTGGCCACACAAGCATGCCGCACCGCATCCGGCCAAAAGTAATTGGGAAGACCGGCTTCAATGAGAAGTCCCCGAGCCGTCTCCGTGAGTGTCCGATTCGCACGCTCGGCGGTGCCGTTCATTGCAGGAGAGTAGGGCATGGTAAGAGAGTGCCTTATGCCCTGCTTCTTCAGCCAAGTTGAGAAATCCTTGCTCAGGAACTCTCCCCCACGGTCAGTGCGAATCGCCTTCACAAGTCGGTCTTGTTGCCGCTCCACCATCGGCAACCAATCGGTCTTCACCGTTTCAGCTACGTCACTCTTCTTGGCAGCACATACACCCAAGTCATGCGAGTGTAGACGTCCACAATGGTGAGGAAGTACTCTGCTCCAGCAGCTCCAAGCTTCAAGGGGCCCACCACATCCATCACCACCTCATCAAGTGGTGCCTTCGCCGTTGTCTCCGAGCTATGGAACGGGTAGCGGGGTGAACTTGGCTTGCATGCATGTTGGACAGCCAGGCACCTCATTGGGCTCCCCCTTGACACGTATCCCACTGACCATCTCTTGCTTAACAATCTGCTGCAAAATGGGGCAATGCCACATGCCCCATTCAATGATGCAAGGTCAGCCAATCACACTCTCCCGTAGCGGAAGTCGGGACACAGCTGTGATTTGGGAAATAAATCCCGCACATTTGCACTTTTGGGTACAGCGTCACATTTTTGTGTCGCAATGTACCCTCCCTCGTACTGGCGGAAAATGCATTCGCGGGACACGACCTGAGAGACAGCAACACTTGCACTGGTAGAAGGGAATCGACACAAGGCAAGGTGACCCAAGCTGAGTGCACAATACCACCACGCAATACTGCAGCAGACAACAGGAATGGTATCCACAACTAAGGGCATTAGACAGCAGTAGAAACCAAGATTAGCGGCAACCAACGATAGATGACATTACCGGAGCGCGTAATAAACTCGACAGCCGCGGAAAAGGCTGCGGGAGGGCAGCGCGACGCGAGTCCACGTGGACAGCATGCATTGCAGGCCATACAGCTCATGGCCTGCAAGCGACAAAAACAGGCAGGCGATTGGTGAGCGTATAGTCCCGGGGTGCTCTAGCAGCACGCGCAAAAAGGGCAGGGGTAGCGCACGAAAGGAGGATAAAAAAAGAAAGAAATTAAAAAAAACAAAAAAAAAAAAAAAGAGAAAGGCGAGACGCGCACCGAGGGAGAGCGGATACTAGCACGGCGGGAACCACACATGCGCGCGTTGTTAAGCGACGCACATGTTGGGCCCCAATGCCAGAGCAAGCCGGGCGTCGTGACGCCACAGTACCATACAACAAAGTCCAAAGAACAAAACGGTAGGAGAGGAGAGGAGAGGAAGGGGAGAGTCGAGAGGAGAGAAAGGGGAGGAAGGGGAGAGCAGAGAGGAGAGGAAGGGGAGAGCGAGAAGAGAGGAAGGTGAGAGCCGATAAGAGAGGAGAGGAACGGGGAGCCGAGGGGAGAGGATAGGGAGCCAAGAGGAGAGGAAGGGGGAGACGAGAGGACAGGCAGGTGAGAGCTGAGAGGAGATGCAGGGGAGAGCTGGGGCGGAGAGAAAGGGAGAGCCGTGAAGAGAGGAAGGGGAGAGCCGAGAGGAGAGGAAGGGGAGAGCCGAGAAGTGAGGAAGGGGAAAGCCGAGAGGGAGGAAGGGAGGTGCAGAGATGAGAGGAAGGGGAGAGCTTAGAGGAGGGGTAGGGAGAGCCAAGAGGAGAGTAGGGGGAGAGCAGAGAGGAGAGGAAAGGGAGAGCCGAGATGAGAGGAGAGGAGGGGGGGAGCTGAGAGGAGAGGAAGGGGAGAGTCGAGAGGAGAAGAAGGGGAGAGCCAAGAAGAGCGGAAGTGGAGAGCAGAGAGGAGAGGTAGGGGAGAGCAGAGAGGAGAGGCGACACAATGGGCAGCTGGGAGGTGGGTCAGGGGGGAAACTGAGAGGCGACACAATGGGCAGCAGGGAGGTGAGTCAGGGGGGAAGCTGAGAGGCGACACAATGGGCAGCAGGGAGGTGAGTGAGGGGGAAGTTGAGAGGCGACACAACGGGCAGCAGGGAGGAGTGTCAGGGTAGAAAATGAGAGGCGTTGCAATGGGCAGCAGGGAGGTGAGTCAGGGGGGAAGCTGAGAGGTGAGGTGGGACAGATGTGTTCCCAACAAAGCCACCCCATGTCACCCCTTTCAGCACCTACCCCCAAACCTGCCACGCTTAACCTCCAAGCCCCAACCACCACCCAACAGGGGCCGGGCTCCAGCGGACCCAAACAAGGACCATCCAGCAGCAGCATTGGACCAAACACATGACTAGGCCATACACGGTGTTTCTATGAACGTGAGGCCAGCTGTTTGTCTCCAGCTGGGCGAAATGTCGGCGCTCATGCGGGGGGCAAAGAGGGCGACAATGGCGGACCTGCTCTACTACTATATGATGAACTCCGAGAAGGCGCACCAGCGGCTAATGCGTGCAGGCTCCAAGGTAGGTAAGCAGGGGATGCCCTTTCATGCGCGTTTGCCAGCCAAGCTTGTGCATCCATGCCCCCCCGAAATCCCATCCACTGCCCATTGTGTGTGCCCGTTGATCCACCTAGGTGTGCATGGAGGTGATCCTCGAGCCAAGGCGGAGCAGCACCTAGAGGCATATGGAAAGGAGTTTTGTTATAATCACAATAGGCTCAGATGTGCCTAAAATAAGAGAAATTGTGCACTGACAGAATTCCGTCCGACAGCTTCAAATATTGATGCCGAACTGATCGGTGCCTTAAACGGTGATCTGTAAATTGGATCTAGAGCGCGTTTTTGTCGCCTATCAGGAGCAAGTTGAATCATAAAATTCCATGAAGATTTGACGACGCTATCGTGGTTTGACTGGCAGGAGGTACAGCAGCCACTTTAGTCTTGGAAGTACAAACTTAGCAAGAAGAATTCGAGATGGAGATGGTTCCTAGCCTCTACATACCCCAAGAGCCAAGATCCTGGTTGGTGGTACACCACCACAGAGTCCCCAACCATGAAGAGTCTCGAAACAAACCCTCCAAGGGGCTACACCAAGTGAAATGTAACACTACACGAAGTAGCGTTACTATTTTCACTATTTTAATATTTATCCGTGTCCCTTGGTCTTGAAATCTTGAGCTCTTGGTCTTGGTTCTGCAAGATAAATTCTTCTTGAGTTGATGGGGGCTTGCTGCACACACCTGCGACGCGATGGACACTTCACACTCAACAAAATAGAAAAAACACATGCGACACACAAACGACGACTTGACATGGGCGTTGTAAAAACTCGCTAATGTCTTGATCGACACAAACCACATTGTGATACACCATTCAAACACACACACAAGAACTAGATAGCAGTGACATAGACTCACAATTCATTCCATGCCATGCATGCACACACACAAACAAGGACGACAAGCCGAGTGCAAGCCATAGGGTTGCACCAACAAGTTTGACACTAGGGCTGGGCACGGACCGGACTTAGCAACCAACATCATGGGGCAGACGGACGGCCAGTTGAATGGGCTGACCTACAACTTTCGTGCCTATGAAGAGGGCACGAAGGGTAAACTACGGCCTGTGCATGGATGCGGATGGGGCGGGCTCCGAAGAGGGAAGAAGTTTGAAAAGCAATGTGAAAAAGGTGAGCGGGGGTAGGGGTTGCAGACCAACAAAGGGGTACAATGGTAGCTTCCCTGGTGCGTGAACAAGGCCCCCACACAACGAAGGGGACGGAAACCGAGTCGTACCACATGATCACCCTCGGAAATACAAACCCCCATCCAAACCAACTTATGCATGGGTGGCAGGCCCCAAAGAGCAGAGCTTGCCTCCTTGTGCCGGGGCTTCCGTCAACCCGGGAGTGCAGCCCGCAATGTTGGCGCCAGCTAGCCCTGCCAGCCGTACATGCGGGGCTGTTGATGATGCGACGCGATTGTCCGATCCGTAAGAATTATGGTTGGCTTCTGTACTTCATGGACAGAAGAAGCGTGCTTTCCGTAGGTTCAGCCAACATGTCTCTCCTGCCCCTGTTCTGCAGGTCTAGCTCAACCAAACCATCTATGCGAGCAAGAGCTGTGCCGGTTCCCAGGGGATGGTCAGCAAGCCCATCCATTAACGATGTCCCGGTAAACTGGATATGTCTAATGGAGGCAAAGCACATGCTCGCAGAGCTTGCCACCCTGCGATTGCATCGCCTGAATGAGGCATGTACGGCACCATGACTTTGATCTCATGGAATGATGCATGGGCATGCATGGGTTGGTACTGGCACTGTAACAAGTGTGCAAAAAGCAAGGAAATATGGTCCAGTCCGAAGAAGGAACACGTGACCACCACAAAAAAGCTTGGCCCACATACATCCTCACACATGATCCCATGCTCCCATGCTCCCATGCTCCCATGCTCCCTTGCGAGCATGCTCCCCATGTTCTCGGGCTCTCCATGCTGTCAATGCTCCCATGCTCCCATGCTCCCCTGATCCCATGCTCCCATGCTCTCATGCTCTAGTGCTCCCATGCTCCCCTGCTCCCATGCTCCCTTGCTTCCATGCTCCCCTGCTCCCATGCTCCCATGCTCCCCTGCTCCCCTGCTCCCATGGTCTCATAATCCCCTGCTCCCCATGCTACCCTGATCCCATGCTCCCATGCTCCCATGCTCCCATGCTCCCTTGCGAGCATGCTCCCCATGCTCTCGGGCTCTTCATGCTGCCAATGCTCCCATGCTCCCATGCTCCCCTGCTCCCATGTTCCCATGCTCCCATGCTCCCCATTCTCTCGGGCTCTCCATGCTGTCAATGCTCCCATGCTCCCATTCTCCCCATGCTCCCATGCTCCCATGGTCTCATGCTCCCATGCTCCTATGCTCCCATGCTCCCCTGATCCCATGCTCCCCTGATCCCATGCTCCCATGCTCCCCATGCTCTCGGTCTCTCCATGCTGTCAATGCTCCCATGCTCCCATGCTCCCCTGCTCCCATGCTCCCATGCTCCCATGCTACCCATTCTCCCGGGCTCTCCATGCTGTCAATGCTCCCATGCTCCCATGTTCCCCATGCTCCCATGCTCCCCTACTCCCATGCTCCCATTCTCCCATGCTCCCATGCTCCCCATGCTCCCCATGCTCCCATGCTCCCATGCTCCCCTGCTCCCATGCTCCCATTCTCCCATGCTCCCATGCTCCCATGCTCCCATGTTCCCATGCTCCCTTGCTCCCATGCTCCCATGCTCCCCTGCTCCCTTACTCCCATACTCCCATGCTCCCATGCTCCCTTGCTCCCCTGCTCCCATGCTCCCCTGCTCCCATGCTCCCGTGGTCCCATGCTCTCTTGATCCGCTGCTCCTCTACTCCTCTGTTCTGATTCCCGCTGCTGCCACAACTTGCGGCCCTCAAACGTCCTGCGACAAGGGAGGCGGATGGGGAGAGAAGGCAGTGGGGGAAGGAGATGCTTGGAGTAAACCCGAAACGAGCAATCTGGAAATCTGATTTGCGTAACGAGCTTCACACATGCAAAGGCACCATCTGGTAGACTGAAAAGCACTAGCAAGAATGAGAACTGACAGCGCGGAAAAAACGAGAAATGCGTGTGTGGGAGGGAGAAGGCGCATGGCGACTGACCAACGGCCCTCACGCGCTGCCTTGGGGAATGAAGCCGCATGTGCAAGGGGTACCTTTCTTGCCATTTACTAACCCTAACTCCCTCGTCGCACTGCTCGAGCTGATTCCTTCGGTTTTTGCTGCTGGATGCCGGGCTGATACCAGCGCGGATTTAGGCGACGTTGTTTTCTGGCCCGCAGGTTGAAATCGCTTGGAAAAGCGGGTGTTTGAAACGATGCGACTTGACGGTGCAATTTGACGGTGCGATTTGACGGTGCGGTTAGACAGTGTGATTTGACGGTGCGATTTGATGGTGCGATTTGGCAGTCGCGGGAATGCTTATGCTGGGCGGGGCCTGTTGTCGTGAGGCGGGCTTTCGGAGGTGGAAAGTACTTGGAGTAAATCGAGGTCCTGTGTCTTGGACACTTCGTGAAAGGCAGGTCAGCTGTGTGTGGTGCATACACTGCCTCAGCGTGGTGGCGCTGGGCTGGGTTATGCACACGGAAAGTCCCAAAATGTATGCGCGCAGTTTCAAGTTTCCTTCCGCCCAAAAGCTTTGTGTGTCTGGGGCAGGGGCGGAATCGGCAAGGGGTGGCGCACGCGCGTGGCATGCGACAGTGGTTCCTGCTCTCGCTTTGGGGAACAAAGTTACCAAACGTGGGGGTTCAAGATGAATAAACTTGAAACTAAATTTCTGCAATTTGGGTCAACGGCTTTAAAGACAACGTTTTCTCGGGATCCAAGACACTGTGCCAGATGTGAATAGAATTCTGCAAAACCAGACTAGTGAACTCGTTCGCCCAAGTGTGAGTCCCTGTCGATCCCACGATTTTGGGGAATGGACGGAGAATCACACCCAACAAGGTTTCGTGAGTTCTTGTCGTCCGCCAATTCCATTGCGTGGTTTCTCGTCAGTCCCCTCTCGCCCACCATCACTCGCGAAATCTCTTGGGGTCAGGTCGTGTCTCATCCATTTGTACACACAATCCGTTTCACCCCACCCTGTCTCACCCATTGAGGGTTTAGTACTGTTGGCCCTTGGCGCCACTCTGGTGTCGATGGCGTCAATGGTGTACCCCTCGTTCACGCGTCGCATGAGCATGGCAAAGTCGAATGCATGGGCACCACTTGACGGTGGCTGTGGGTTGAACATGATGAGCGGCCCAGCCACCACTCGTTCGTCTGGCTGCCCGTCGTTTCGGGTGGCAGTCGGTCCCTCCTCTGCCAGGGGTGCAAATGCCGGCCCACCTGATGCTGTTGGGTGCTCGCCTGTCGAATGATCTTCTCCATGGCCGCCCTGTTGAGAACCAGTCCCTCGCACGCCGCTACCTCGCTCCCCTCTCCCTCCTTGGTGCCCCTCGAAGTTTTGCGTGTTGAATTGGCGCCTCCCATGACGTGCCTCTCGCGCCTGCTGCTGCATATAGGCACGTGCACCTGCATTGGACTCCCATGCCAAGCGTTCCGCCTCCCTTCGCATGCTCTCGGCCTCCGGTGCGGCTGGAAACTTCAGGTCCATAGCGAGGTGTGGCTGTTCGTTTGCCTCGCGAATTGAGCTTTCGCAACGATGATTGACGGGTTCGCAACTCTCAGCTACGCGCAGGTTGAGCTAGGGCGAGCTTGCACGAATTTAGGGAGATCGATTTACCGATCTAACCATGACTGGCGACAGTGATACAAAACCAAAAGTCGCTGTACATTGTGGAAACACTGAACCAAGACAACCCCCCCATTCAGTACCTACAGTATGTAAGGAAAACAATTTTCCTTAATGTGCGGACTAGCCGTACCGTTGCCATTGGCCCCGCCTTGTTCACTCGTTTCATATTTCGTCGACTCAGCCCACGTCAGCACTGCTGAGTCACCTGCTAAATAAGCCAACGCTCGTTGAGCCACGTTCCAAACTCATATCTTAGCCACGTCACTAGACATTAACTATAAATGCTTCGCATGTATTTTCACTCAAACGATTATTCATGATTTCCGCAATCCTTTCATCCTCGATACCGTAGTCACCCGGATAGACTCCCCTCTGTATACGTTCCTCTTTTATTTCCTTATTGTAAAACTCCCCTTCATTGCTAAAGGTGTTCGAGCTTGGCGCGTTTGGAAATTCCACAGAGCTCGGCGTAGTGCAGGTACTGTTGACGTGGCAGCTTCTTGGTGGAGAAGTCAACTCCCATGTCACTAGTGGGACAGTATGTCACGTCCACTTTTCCTTTGTCGATTTCGTCCTTGACGAAGAAGTATCGCAGCGCGATGTGCTTTTTGCGATTGACGAAGCCAGACATTTTGGCGATCTTGATTGCACTGTGGTTGTCGCACTGTAACTTGAATGTTGGCGAAGTGCTGAGTTTTGACTCCTGCAGCAATTCTTGAAAGCAGTGTCTTTCGCAAACGGCGGAGGTTGTTGCGATGTACTCTACTTCAGCTAAGGAGAGGGCAACCATCTCCTGTTTCTGCGAGTTCGAAGAGATGGGTCCAGTAAGTGGAGTAGGTGAGGCCGATTTGTGGAGCCGAAATGAAATAGAGGAAAGCTTGCTGTAGATCTAGGAGGTTCTCCCCTTCAGGTAGCCGAGAGTACTGGGCGAGCTAGCTGGCGATGTAGGAAAGGTCGGGCCGGCAAATGACAGCGGCAAACAGTAGGCATCGAAGCTGCTGCTGATAGAGTTGGTGAGCGGTAGGAGCGAGTGTCTTGGTGTCGACCTTGTAGCCGGTGGCGGGAGTGCACTAGGGTGCGGATAGCGGTGTCGGCATTAGGTTAATTTTTTTCGCAAGAGTCTCGGCATACTTCGACGCAAAGAGGTGGATGGCCTCTGGCATGTAGGAAATGTTGAGCCCAATGAAATGTTGGTGTCGGTGTAGAGCAGGTCATCGACGTAGACAGTGGGGAGGATGTAGTCTCCACGGAAGAGGAGATAGTACATCCCGGGGTCGTGAGGTAGCTGGAGGAACCCAATCTCCAGTAGGATTCTGTGGAGATGCTGCTGCCAAAGGCGGGGTGCCTGCTTAATCCTATAGAGGGATTCTTGCAGCTGGCAGACGCGTGGATCGTCGTCACCGTAGGTGTGAGGTTGCTCAACGAAGATCAGAGTGTCAACCTTTGGGTATAGAAACACATTTTTTACATCGATTTGTCGGAGCTCGAGGTGTCGGCATGCTGCGATGGCGAGCAGGATGCGCACGGATGTGTGACGGCTAACAGGTGCAAAGGTGAGGTTGGAGTCGATGTCGTGGCATTGGTCATAGCCTCGTACCTCCCATCGGGCCTTACACCGCTCGACGTTCCCTTGGGCGTCCGTTTTGACGTGGTAGACCCACTTTCCAGAGAGTATCTTCCTCCCCTTTGCTGCTGCGCGGTTGACAAGGACCCAGGTGTCACGGGAGCGCAATGCAGCGATTTCCACGTCCATGGCCTTGCCCCATTCGGCGCGATGAGGTCCGGTGAGAGCCTGTCGTGGTGTCTCAGGCTTGATCACAGAGAGGTTCTTGTGAACTGCTTCACGAAGGCCGAGAATGTGGAGGCCGGAGAACCTAAGGTTGCGGTGCCCGTTGCCAGTGACCTCTTGCACGTCGTCGTCCGAGTCGGGGCGCTGTTGTCCGCAAGGGTGCTAATGGTGCTGTCGCAACGCAGAGTGCCACGTGAGGGATCGAGAGGGGCATCGTCCGCGTCATCATCATCGTCGAAGCGAGGGTTCTCCCTGGGGTGCTCGTCCTCGTCTAGGCGGGCAGCTTCGGTTTCGTCTTCTGTAGAGGCGAAGTTGCGCTCTCCTCACGCGTAGGCTGCTTGGCGATTAGTGTGGCAATCATGATGGAGTAAACGTGGCAATGGAATTGCTTTGCGCGTAGGCTGCTTGGCAATCGTGGCAATGGAATTGCTTTATGGTGAGTCCTTCGTACAAGAAGACGTCCCTGGAGGGCACAATGGTGGAGTTCTCCAAGTCCAAGGTTGTCCATGCCTGGCACTCGTGAGAGATGCCAAGGTGCACCCCCCAGCGAGCTCGCCTTTTGAACTTGCTGGTGGTGGCCTGATGAGGGTGGTACTGGAGCATGCAGCCCAAGACTTGCAGCATGATGGTGCCAGCTGGCTTTTCTGTCCAGACCATGTAGGGGGAGAGGTTCCCATCATTGGTGGTGGTGGACATAAGGTTGTGCAGTCGGACTGTGTGGTGCATTGCATAGAGTGAGTATTCTGTGGGCACTGCAGACTGGAGCATCATGGCCTGTACTTTGGTCTGTAGAGTTCGGTTGGTCCGTTCAGTGACGCCTTGCTACGGGTGAGCGTAGGGAAGGGAGAGCTTGTGCTTGATTCCAAGTTCTTGGAGATGAGTCTGTAGCTCCTCACTTCGGAATTCCCGAGCTCCATCCGTCGGCCAGTACTTCTGTTTCTTTCCAGACTGGCGCTCAGCGAGAGTAAGCCAAGGTCAGAAGATGTTGAGTACTCCCCCTCTGTTCTGGACATTGTCTCCCCAGACGTAGCGGGTGGCAGCGTTGATGAAGGTCAGTGTGTACTGCTCCCTATGGAGTCCTGCTTGTGTGAGGACGAGGTAGTCACTGTAGACTTTGTCCAGTGGTGTGTAACGGTTGGGACAGTGAGGAAGGTCTAGGAATGGGTTGTGTGTGAGGGTAGCTTTGGGGCAGACTGTGCAGGTGCGAGGGGCTTGGCTTTCTTGAAGCTCATGCCCGTCAGAGTCTAGGAGTGCTCTAGGGGCAAAGATGTTGGCCTTGAGCGAGTTGTTGAGGGTGACTCTGGAGGGGTGGCCAAGCCGCTGGTGCCAGATGTCCGTGGAGGCGCGAAGTCCTCGAGTGCGTTAGTAGCGCTGGCGGGAATTGTCAAGAGGAGGGAGCTAGAGGTGTGTCTGCAAGCGCAGGGGCTGTGATGGCAAGAGCAAGAAACTCACGGTCTATGAGGTCCACTGTGACTTCTCGATCTTGAGGAGAACCGTTTGGTCCAGCTGCGCTCTTGTCTAGCTCTTCAGGATCTGTTTTCGCGCGACGGAGGCGAGACGGTGGTGGACCTTCGATGATTTCAATCTCTTGGAGTGGTGGCGAACCTTCGATGGTTTCGGTCTCTTGGAGTCGGTGACAGTGGGAGAGGGGCTGTGAGGTTCGGGTGGTGGAGATCCGTGGTAGATTCTCCAGAGTAGAGTGTTTACTCCATCAAAGGTTTCATTATACTCTTCCCAAGTTCCAAGGGCTTGAGGAGGGCAACCAAGATGAAGATACACATCTGGTGCGACTCTCCCCCTTTCG